TTAGGACCATACCAGAGGAAAAGCTGGAACCATGTCTTAACACCGAGAGTTGTGGGAGCATGAAATCATCGCCTTTTGGGTACAATCTTTCTCATATGCCACCAGCTACATCGCCCTGTGACTCACATCTGGCTGCCCACTGAAGCTCAACAGGTGTGAGGCTGGTCAGTACCTGGATGGGAGACTCTAGGAGGTGCTCACCTTGCAGTCTGTGTGGGTCCCAACGCCCCTGTATAAAGACGGGGACACTACACTCTACAAAAAAGGTGCTGCCCTTCAGATGAGACTAAAAACCCAGACTCTAACCTAACTCTCGATGGTCATTAAAAATCTCAAGAGTGTTTCTCAAAAAGAGTGTGGGTGTTATCCCGGTGTCCTGGCCAAATCTCCCCCTGATGAAAGGCTCCCAGCTATCAGCAGGACAGGGGAATACTAGAATGCAGGATAAACAGGTTCCAGGGAATGATCTGGAGGGAAAAGAAATTAATTTCAACGTTGCTACCATACTTCTAGAAATAGCAATGGTGATAGAGTGATACAGACAAGACACTTCAAACCAGTGACCTACACCTGAGATACGTTCTGGTGTTTGAGCTTGACACTTTGAACTATATGATTGGATCTCCTTGGAGAACAATAAACCAGAGGTGTAAATAAAGAATAATGTCAGGTGAACTCAACACGGTGAACTCAACACGTAACCTCTGTTTATAAAAGGAGTAACCAAACAATGGCCAGGCATGCTGGGTTTCATTTATTGAGAGATTAAACTTGCCTTGCTGGGAAAGCCGAAGGAAGATTAGAGTGACGTCATACGTTCAATAAAGGGATTAACCACACAGGTGTGAAAGAAATGTGTGAGTCTGGTTCAGAAAACCAGAAGAGAATTTAAGAGCTTGAGAAAAGTCCCAGGCACGTATCCACTCAGCCCATGTGTCTCATTCAGCAGCATGGTGGTGCAGTAGTTAGTGGACCAGGGACAGATTCCCATATCAGCGGAGCAGGGCAAAACTGCTTTCGATAAAAGTCTAATAAAACATGAACGATGACAAATTATAAACCCTAAAATGCATGAGATTCCTGAAGAAAAATAGACACTATTTCACTTTTTGAAAATAGAATCAATGAGTGCCTCAAAATGTAACTTGCAGTCCAGAACAGTCCTTAAATACTTTGATTTACCACCCATCTCCACTGATTCACTGCTGAGGCAGCTCTGAGTGGGAGCCATTTGTACATTGAACAAAGAGTAAGGGAGACAATACAGGGAACCAGTGATATAATACAGCCTACAGTCAGACGAAGCATTACTGACTCTTACTGTTCGAGTTCTGCCTGTCAGGAAATTAGTAACCCAGCTGACCAGATCAAAAATCAGATAATGGCTTGGTTGCCGGGAAATAGGCTTGAGTACAATACGAGCATATTTGTCAGATATCAGATCAATATCAGATATCAGCATCTGATCTTTGTGTGTGGTTATCCCCTAATCCATATAGCCTATTAACAAAGGCCTGGTGGTGGTGGCTCTATGGCTAAGGATCTGCGCCTGTGACTGGAAGGCTGTGGGTTCAGATCCTGCAGCTGGCAGAGAAATCCTACTCCCTTGGGCCCCTGAGCAAGGCCCTTAACCCTAACTGAACTGCTCCAGGGGTGCTGTACAATGGCTGACCCTGCGCTCTGACCCCAAGCTTCTCTCCCTGTCTGTGTCTCCATGGAGAAAAGCTGGGGTCTGCGAAAAGATGAATTCCTAATGCAAGAAATTGTATAGGGCTAATAAAGAAATATTATTATTATTAATGCAGTTTCAAAACCCAGGGGACCTGGCTGCTTTGTGCTTCGTGCTGTAATGTAACACTGTTTATCGATGGCGAAGTGGGGGCGATCAGTGCCTGCGGTATCAGGTCACCTCTGTCAACACAGACGGGTGCAGCAGGTGCCCCTGATCACTAGGGGGGGCTGGTGATATAAAACACGGCACCGCACACCTGGCCAGGAGCACACCTCCCTTCCTAGGGACCGGGCACGGACTCAGTCAAAATCACCCCAGAAAACAAGGAGGGGGGCTGAAGTAGCTTTCCAAGATTCTGCCTGGGGGCTAATGGATCCCAAACCCAGACCTGCCCAGCAAGCTGAGAAAGAAAGAGGCACGCTGGTTGTAAGACTTACCTCCCATTTCCAGCATTTCATTCTAGAGAAGCCAGACAGCTACCAAACGTGTAAGAAAGAAAATAATACCAGTGGAGGCCACACAACCCAGTTAGCTGTTTTGGTTACTAGTTGTAGCAGCTGGTGTTGACTTCAACATGGCTGAGCGACTTGGTCTGGGCCCCCACCACTCTTTGTGTAAAGTTGTGCCCCCCCCCGATACTGCTGTATCATAACTGCAGTGTCACAGGCAAACTGTCTTCAGAGTCTACCCTCCGCTTTGTTGTAGAAACAGGCAGTCCGAGGCGGAAAGAGATCATCTCTAAATGACTCTATAAAAAAGCCTTTGAACAATGTTTGGGCCAATTAAATTGCTCATTCATCATCAGCTGCTACTTTTCTCACAGTGAAGCTTGGCAGAGCTTGTGCTGCACTAAGACCATCCAGGTAAAGCAGAACCAAGACTGGAGAAATATTAGTAACAATATTATTAAACTAATGTGATCACAAACCGTTTCAGAACTCAATGAAGTGGTATCAGCTCCGTCACATTAAAGCAAGTCAAAAAGGGCAATGTGTCCAACTGTGGCTTGGCTACCGGACCTACTGTGCACGTTGCTTAGGCTGTGCATTATTTTATCAAGACCAATGAAAACATCCACCTTTCCTGTAGAATTGATGTATTGGGCTCCATCCTGAAAACCTTCCAGGGACAACTTCTTTCGGAAAGCCATTCCCCTACTTAGCTTGTCAGAGAACTGTCATCTAGCAAGAAGTCTGACACAAAGAACATTTAAAAAGGCATCACAAAATTAAAGTTTGAATACCTGAATAAGACTAAGTAAATGTGGACCAGTAAAACCAGGGGACAACTACGATGGTGGTGGACGGAGCCAACCAGTGCCACAGTACGATGACAGAGGACACTGTGGTTTAAGAGGTGTCCATCAAAGGTGGTGTTCAACCAATGGCCCGCTGACTTGGTCATTAAAAACACCACGGTGTTCCATTCCACCCCAGGTTTGCACAGTCAGGAGAAAAGGATGGGCTTGAACACCTGAACACCACTACACAAAGGGCGGTGGGTGTCTGAAACAAGCTGCCCCTCCCAGGTGCGTTTCTGAAGCGAACTCAAATAAAAATACCATCAGCCTCATGAGCAAAAGGGACCGATTGCCTGTAGCCATTGTGTGCTTTTGTTACCCTGATAAACAAAACGAGAAACACACCGCTGTGTTGTTTGCCCAATAGGCCCTTATCTGTAGGAAAATTGCTGTGCAAAGCTGAGCTGCAAAACAGATCAGTGTTTGGCCTGCAACCCATCGCATTAACAGACTGCCATTGTTTGATCAAGTGGCCATACGCCCATATAGCGCGCGTAGCGCACACCTGGGCAATAGGGAGCTAAGGGCAGAATCACGTGGGGCCCTAAAAATCTCCATGCACACCTGCGAGCAGCTCTGTGGGCCTGCCTGGCACACCCCGCGTTTTGCATTATCATCTGATTCTCACGCTAATCTAAAGCACACAGGTCCGTGACTGACAAAGACACCCCTCACTGAGTGGAACGCAAGAGCTGTGGGAAAAGTACATTGCCTGCAACAGGAGCCCACTTGCTGAGACCCGGCAAATTGTAAAAACTCTAGAATAAACACTTCATATCAGAAAAAAAAAACCTCATCTACTCCAATGTGATTATTCCTGCTTGATATGAGTGCTTGAGGTCCCACAAGGTCCTGGCTCTGAGCATCCTGGAGTCATTGTGTTATTCCAACCGATCAATTACCGGCTGGTTACTGAACCGATATATTGATTGACTCAAACCTCTGCAAGTTTTTTTTTCCCTATTCCAAGGTTGGAGGTCGTTAGTTAATTAAGAAATGCTCTAGTTAAGTAGCAATCACCAACACGTTAAACGGAATACAACTGGTTAAGACAATTAAGGGATGGATTGTGTAACGGAGAGCTCAGCAGGAATGAAGGCCAGCAGAAAAACCAGCCGTGTTACCGGTGGACCAGTAGGTGGCGATCTTGTCTCCACCTTTCTACAAATTACATCTTAAATCAAGGTCTTAATTACTCGGCCGTTAAAGATTCCATGGCTCTGTGCATGAAAGACAGGGTGCCCACACCTGCGTCCTGGCCTGAAGTTTCCCCCCTAATTCAGCTGGGGAAGCAGGTTTGTCCTCCCGATCAGTAGGGAGCAGTGGGGCTGCCGAGTGTCACCCAGCCATGGCCTCTACAGCCCCAGGATCCTCTGGGATAAAAATCACTACTAAATCACCACTTAAAGGTGCTGACTCATGGGCAGTGTGGTGGTTCTGTGGCTCAGGATCTGCACCTGGGGCTGGAAGGCTGCTGGAAGGTTCGTCGCCCGCAGCCGGCAGAGGAATCCTACTCCGGTGGGCCCCTGAGCAAGGCCAACTGGTCCAGAGGCGCCGTATAAATGTCTGACCCTGCGCTCTGACCCCCAGCTTCTCTCTCCTCCTCTGTGTGTCTCATGGAGAGCAAGCTGGGGTCTGTGAAGACAAATTCCAAATACAAGAAATTGTATATGGCCAATAAAGCGATCTTAAATCTTATCACCCTCAATCCCTCGAAGGCATGAGCGATAACATTTACAGAGCTATGGTACAGTGCAGTGGTGTCGTACACTGGGCTGCAGTGCCCCCTATTGGATCTCACAGAGTACTGCAGCCTGATCAAACAACCAAGCCCAAGTGGAGCCGGCAGAAATTTTAACCAGAAAGAGATGAAACGATGTAACATTTGATAACGTTGAGGGCAGGTTTATGTGGCTACGGAATACACGCTCAGATAGCCTACAACCAGATCAATAGCAGGAGCCATCCTTTCGTTACCAGTTTCATTTCATTTTTAATGGTTTCTTAATTCCCCCCAGTCGGATCGTTTTTTAAATGCACACACAACAGTCTCTTGAACATCTAAATACAAACTTGCAGCCATCTTCCTCTGAGGTTTCATGAAACAAAAAAAGAAAATTCCAGATGGTTTCTCACAGAAAAAAAAAAGTTCTTTTTTTTCCCAGGAACCATAAATGTTGGTGGGTAAGAATTCACATGAGCTTGCCCTGAACGCCGAGGTCAGGGTGTGCCGCCGGAATCTCACAGGCCTGTCCCGTCACGAGAGAGACTGCTCACGTGGCCCACAGGTGCTCCAAACTGGTTTTTCAGCACCACCGAGCCCCTCGGATGTTGGGGAGCCCTGGTCAGCTGGCTGGGGGCTCGTCTCCCCCCAGGGTGTCGAGCCACAGCTCCAGAGCGAACTTAGTGCCGGTGCTGACCCGCTCCGGGTCCCCGCCCTGCGCGGGCGCCCGGCTCAGCAGCACCGCTGTGGACAGAGTGGACCTGAAGAGCTCCCCCGCGCTGGACACCTCCCAGACCCTGGAACACAGAGCACACACACGGAAACCACAGTGACGCCCCGAAACATTACCCTCTCCCACTGGGAGCAGGACGGAGAAGAGCGACCCGCCTCATCCCCAAGAACTGAATCTCTTTAGTCCTGAACTGGGAGGAGTAGGAGGAGGTTCCGAGGGCACTGGAAATCCGGGATGCGGTCACACGTGGGGTGTCAGGTAGGATGTCTGGGTTTCGGAATACAAAACACTCCCTTTTGTCAGTGGTGCTTCAGTGCACTTCTCTCCAAGTCCTGCCTCGCCTTTGGCTGCTGTCTGTCTATGGTTCAACAGCCCTGCACTGCCCCTCACTATATATAGCCAGCAGCTACATCACCCTGCAGCTCCCAGCTGGCAGCCCACTGGAGCAGGTGTTAGTGAGGCACTCACCCTGCCGTCTGTGTGGGTACTAATGCCCCAGTATAGTGACGGGGACACACTGTATATACTGCATATACTGTAAAAAAAGGTGCTGTCCTTCCGATGAGATGTAAAACTGAGGTCCTGACTCTCTGTGGTCATTAAAAATCTCAGGGTGTTTCTTGAAAAGAGTAGGGGTGTTACCCCGGTGTCTTGACCCAATTTCCCCCAGGTCTTTACCAATTATGGCCTCCTAATAACCCCCCTCTCTGAACTGGCTTCATCACTCTGCTCTCCTCCCCACTGAGAGCTTGTGTGTGGGGAGCGGACTGTGGTGCATCATCCAGGTGGGGCTGCACACTGGTGGTGCTGGAGGGGATCCCCATGACCTGTGAAGCGCTTTGAGGGGAGTGTCCAGGAAAGTGCTATAGAAGTGTGAGGAATTATTGTTATTAAACAGGCCTGGTTCTGCCTCCCTGGGAGAACCCATGAAGAACACACAGACACAAACACACAAGCTTTGCAGACGCACACTCCAGCAGGGGCTTCATACCTGACTGTCGGGGGCAGGTGGGCCGGCAGCTGCCCCAGGCCGTCTGCCCCGTCCACAGAGGCCACGATGGCCCTGGCCAGCACAGCGTCCAGCCACACACAGCCACTGACCTCCTGGGGTTCGGGCCTCAGTCTCGCCTGAGGGAGACAGACAGAGCGGTTCAGGGTTCGGGGACAGAGCGAGCCCGCACCCATCGAGCTGTGATGGGCCAGGAGGAAACACCTGGCCGAGACTCACCTGGAGCTGCAGGTGCGTGCGACAGCTGCGCAGGAGCAGGTAGGTGACGATGTGGTGTCGCTGTGGCAACCCCCTGGTCAGCATGGGTGGGTACACGGACTGGAGTGATTTGGGGGAGGGGGGGGGGTTTGAGACAAACAGCACAAGATAACACAGAGAATCAGCACTGCTGCTACCATCGGTGAGTTATCACCTACACGCCTGTTTTCTGATCACCTCGGAGCGGATCCCAGTCGTGATTCCCGCTCTCTCCACCCCTCAATGCTCCCTCCTACCTCTAGTCCCTCGTCTCTCCCGACTCCCGCTTGCTGCTCGGCGACTGTCCCCCCTGGCTCCTGCCTCTCTATCTGGTCCTAGTCCTCAAGCACACAGCCTCCTGCAGAC